TACAGTTGGATTTCAGTATAATTTTCGGTAGATAACAGCCAGTTTTTCAGCTGAAGACGTTAACATTGAATGGTTAGCGATACGCCACTGTTCTGGTGTTAATGGTGTAAGTACAGGTTCATAAAACTTGATTTGGCCACAGTAGGAAAATTCTGCTTTCATTTTAATTAATCATGTACTTGGTAGCGTAGTTGATTGCGTCAATGTCAACCCAGCGCGCGCGTGGCTCTTGAACCATGCCTTGCGTGATGCGCAGAACGTTTGCGCACTAACAAAAGTAGGCACCGTCCTTAAACTTGACGTTTCGCATGCTACAACATACATCTTCAGAAGTGATGGCTACAAAATATGACGATTTTAAAAGACTAAAACTAAAGCGAGGTATTGGTGACTAGCTAGACAACAATGAACAAAAGAAACTACATCCGGGGTGAATTAATAAAGAAGAGTTTTTCACTACCGACGTTTTCATTTAGGGCCGGTTTTAAGTCCCGTATTAACAATGTTTCCTTGATTTGACACTGTAAATCACATTGACCACTTGCTAGGATCGCAAAATGGTCCCATTTGATGTTGTGACGGGTAGAAGTTGAATGATCAGCAACAGCGGAGGCGTGACTGACTTGAGTGAAAGCTTTGAAGTGCTCCGTCTTTCCGTCATGCAATCTTCTTTTGGTTTTACCGATGTAGAAAGCATCACAATCCCAGCAACTGGCTTTGCAGACAATCTTCGATTTCTGCGAGCGGTTGAAACGATCTGTGTAAGGAAAGAAAGACTTAATTCTGCGAGTGTTCTGAAAAATAACCCTGAGGTTGACGAAACCATAAAACTTATCGACACAAGATTTTAATCGGCGTGTAATAGCATGGCTATGGAAACCTAAATAAGGTAAAACAAGGATTACATCTTTCTTGGAACTGTGAGAGTAGGTTCTGAAGGCCTGTCCTTTGTTCAGTACATCATTAACGTTGTAGTTAATAACGCCTCTCCGATAACCATTTTGAAGCAAGGAATTCTTCAGATCAGATAGAGTCGACTGCATTACACCTTTTGCTGTTCATTTACAGAAAATATCCATTCATTTGAGTCCAAATTTGTTTCATTATGGTCAATATACTCTCATTAACACCAATATGACCTACATTTGCGCGTAAGGAACGTTCAAGGATAACACTTGCATATGTATTAACATTCAAAATCATCAAAAGATAAACAATATCTTCCTTTGACATTCATTGGCTGTAAATGTATTTTCAGTTTTGTCGAAAAAAAATTCGTTGTCACGAAACGACAATCATTTAAACTTTTGGACAATCCTTTTTCAACTAAAGACTGTCATTAACAGAATTTGCACGAGCACTCACAATCAATAGCCCTTTTCACGGTTACCTTTGCTAATTTACATTACAATAAAATCTAACATGTATGTGAGGCAATTTCGGGCTATTTTGTAGTTTTAGCCCGAAATTGCCTCGCATCCACGTTGGATTACATGGAAAAATTAACCATGAAAAGGGCTATTGCATTATTATACAACCATATCCGTGAAGGTGACAATCTTTAGTACGTTGAGATAGAAATTACCGTGTTTTCACCTAAAAAAACAATAGCTCATTCGCGTAATTCTTTTGAACAGAGATATCGCGCCCAATTTTCCTCGAAAATTTGATTATAGAACTAGGGACCGTGTGTACCTTTTATTAATCGTATTTTCACATTCCTCCCCTTGCAGATATACATTCAGCCTCTTACGAACCTTTTGCGTACAACTCAGAGGGCGCACTACAGTATACATGTGATAAGGTGACAGTAAGATTTCCCCACAAATGCCACGAAGAAATAGAATCCCATTTGAACACAGCGAAAGGATAATCAGGGCCTAAATGCAGACAATGGTATCGTTGCATGCAAACATATTTGCCACGATGCCGATAAATTCTTCAGCAAATTTGATATTCTCTCTTCCAAAAATAAATGTTATTATGGCTGTAATGTTTGTCTCGCCGTACTTAAGATTGTCACCTTCACGGATATGGTTGTATAATAATGCAATTGATTGTGAGTGCTCATGCAAACTGTATTATTGAAAGTCTTTTGTTGAAAAAGGATACTCCAAAAGTGTACATGATTGTCGTTTCGTGACAACGAATTTTTTTCCGACAAAACTGAAAATACATTTACAGCCAATGAATGTCAAGGGAAGATGTTGTTTATCTTTTGATGATTTTGAATGTTAATACATATGCAAATGTTATTCTTGAACGTTCCTTACGCGCAAATGAATGTCATATTGGTGTTAATGACAGTATATTAACCATAATGAAACAAATTTGAACACAAATGAATGGATATTTTTTGTAAATGAACACCAAAAGGTGTAAAGTGGATTTTGAACAGATAATACAGGACTTAAAACCCGCCCTAAATGAAAACGTCGGAAGTGCAAAACCCTTTCTGTTAACTGTTAACTGTTAATTTAAGATTAGAATTGTGATAGAAATGTCAAATGAACTATACCCAGAAAGCAAACAAAACAAAACAAGTTTCCATTTCTAGTGCAACAATCACTGTCATATAGACCTTGACCTAGAAATGTAAAACGATACATGTGCCTGCAATATTGACTAATACAGTGATTTCAGGAGCTTTATCTACTGGTCAGCAGAATTACCCCAAAAAGGTTTAGGGATGCTGGAAGGACATCATTTGCATATCATTTGCATAATCTGCACCACAACTAAAACCCAAAAGATTGCTCACGCAATCTCCGGGTAAAAAGAATGCTTTCGCAATCTCCGGGTTAAAAAAATATTCCAAAAAGGAAAATGCCATTCTTCTGTATTTTGAAAAGCCTTTTAAATAAGCAGCAATTATTTTTCATTTCACGGGCACTTCAAGAATTTCCATATTATGGAGTATCGGCAAACGCACGTGTTGCTTAAGGAGCATCGAAAAGCGTTCATGTTGTTTTGCAAGCGTCGTCAAATCAGGTCGCCGATATACCGAAGAAATTCGTCGTACATATCTACTTAAGGACGGTGCCTACTAAATACAAAGGTTTTTGCGCCAGGTTAGGACCACGCGGAAAACTGAAGTAGATCTTTGCAAGGGCTATAAGAATCCACATAGAAAAATTGGGGTAGCCACGCATCTTTCCGAGATAATTAGCCTTGAATCTCTACAAAAATGCTGACATCAGCATTTTTTCTGAAAAAAAGAAGGAAAGGACATTTCCTCACAAATTTCCTTAGAATTCGCTTTTACATACAGAAAAGCAAACACATTTATAAAGATCTTAAAACTGCATGATAAATGGTACCATGAAAACCATTTTAGGTATGTTTTTAATGACAAAATCGTCGCACCAGCGCTTTTAGCGTCTCAGACTTCCTCTGGTTCAGCTAAAATGCAGCCTAAATACCTTTTGCTCACTGGCAGAAACTAGTCACTTATTGAATAGGCTTGCCACTTCCATTTGATATCATAAAATGTAGGGGTAACCACGCTTTTTTTTAAAGTTATTGATCTTTTTTGAAAACTTTTACGGTGCCCGTTACATTTTGTCCTGTCACCTCCCCAGTAAGTAAGACATTTGCGTATCTCGCACTTGTTTTGCGCTCGCACTACTCCATCTGCAGGAACATGTTTACAGTTGGATTTCGGTATAGTTTTCGACAGATAACAGCTAGTTTTTCAGCTGGAAGACGTTAACAGTTAGTGGTTAGCGATATGCTGCTATTCTGGTGTTCCTGGTTTAAGTACAGGTTCATTAAACTTGATTTGGAGTCACCGTCCTTAAAAGCTGAATAATACTCACACAACCTTTCATCTGATCTATTAGAAACAAAACATGAAAACTGTGAGAAGTTAATGTTGCAAAATATAAGACACTCACCTCGATCAATCCCAGAGAGAAGCTGATACAGGAGTAAACCACTCCACGAGGAAGCCGAGATTTTCGTTGGTCGTCGAGGATTATCGGCAAATCATTGTTGATACGAAGTATTCCCGAGAGACCACAAAGTATATTTCTGTTGTGCTGATTGGCTCCGAAGTACATTCTATTGTTTCTACTTACTATCTTTATTTTCAGTGTTCTGTAGTGATTCCGAGATCTTTACTCACCATTCACTTCTGAAAATTACTTGGGGATCATTCCTGGGTGATTTCCTGTCTGTGGATCATTTCGGCAACTGTTTTTTGGGGGTCAATTTTTGATATGATGGTTAGGGGCATATAAAGAGTTATCTGGCGCAGAAATACTTCTTCTCTTGCGATATGTTTCTCTTTTCGATATGTCCTGAAGGTCTAAGCATGGCTCGACGGCTACCGTTTCTCAATAAAAGTATGTGCAATAAAGGAAAGTTATGCTCTGAGTTGGGTCGGGTCGTTCCGTCCGTCCGTCCGGCCCTCCCACTCAGAAACTACGGGTAAATAACCTCAGGTGTATCTCATCACATGGCAATTTTCCAATTGCCATACGTTTCAAGTGTCAGTGCTCTTGGTTCGATCTTGGTTGACAGCCAATGTTTTACTTCTGCTCAGTATTTTTTATCCGAACTGACCGAAACGAAATTTGACATCCAAATGAAAATTTCAAGTGCTTACTACAGTGCTACTAGTAGGTTTTTCATCACCGTAACTTAGTAAACTCTTCATGTCTAATATAGAAATTATTGCAAACTGACAAGCGTAATTATTTCTTAATCTTCTGCCCTGCTTTATTGTAGTGAATATGATATACTGATCGTAATCAGGCGTGAATTGATCACTCGCAGAATTATTTCTCTTTCGAGCCAAGAATAATCTGAAGAGAAGGCTCGCATAGGTTTCTGTTGATCTGTTAGTCTGGTTTTTGGAATCGAGTCTAGTTCGTTTGCTAGATGTTTGCCACAAATAAGAAGTACATAATCCTTGTTCAAGATAACAAAATGATCCTTTCCTAGACAATCTTCGTAGTTAATGTGGCTAGTCGCGTTGGCGTGCTTGCATGTCTTACGTATGAAAGAAGGCTGGCATTAGAGCTGTGACGTCACTAAGTATCACATACGTGAACACTGGAAATGAATAGAGTTCTTCACCTTAGGGTTAACTGAACAAAATCGCCTTTGTCAAAAGTACTATTACCAGTAGCATCTGTCGTCTAGCGGTGAATCTTGTCAGCTTAAGTGGGCTTAGGTACCCTGACGACGGAATCAAAATAAATCAAACGGCGAAACCATAATCTGTCGAGCGAAACCGACTTTTGATGGATGAAACAAAGACTTGTGAGGATCACAAGGCAAGGAGAAGGACAACGTCTGTGTTGCTGGAGGTTAAAGAAACGAAGAGATGTTCAACGCTTGTGAAACCTCTAATTCTTGCCATCGCTCTGCTGATCATATGTTGTCTTATTCTACTGAATCTCTACTTGATTGAGCGATCAAGACCCAAGGCAGCAGCTGCAGACAAACGAGTCGAATCACCTTCACGGTCACCGGCACCAGAAAAATATTATGGAGGATCATGCTGGACAGCAGAATGCCTACATGCCGCATCAGGTAAGAGCGTTGGTAAATCCCCGGGCAAATCTGATTTATTTTCGTGCCACTGAAAAGAAATCTACCAAATGTAAGTCACACCAACTTAAGTAACCCTTGCTTCATTAATTTGATACTGGAGGCATCGATATTAGAGCAATAATTCACCTCCCAATGTTGCGGTGGATAATCTTGGGCACTTTATTTTTAGCTGAGTGTCCCTTATTTGTAGAGGGTTAGCCCGCCTCGGCCAAGCCAATTTTCCTGAAATATTAAAGGGATATGATCACGGCGGTGGTCACAACAATGGATGAATGGATAGATAACCTCGATGAACAGGACAAGAGCGAAAAGCTAATGCGGGGTTGCGTAGGGAGATCTGTAGCTAAAATATAAACATAAAAACTGTAAAATATACACAAAATCTCCAATCTAGGCTAGTAAATCTTGCTCAATCTTGAATTCATAAAGACACGGCATTCATGGAAAACAGCTTTGTTATTAGTACATAATTTTTAGTGCCTCTTTTTAAACTGCTAAATTATTATTTTGTTATCGAAGACGCGCATTTTTTGTCCAATAGGAAAAGAGGAAGGGTCCTATCTCTTTCAGAACTGTTTGTATGTTGTCAAAGATTTCTACTCAAAGCCTTCACTTAATCATTAACTTTCTACACACTGTTGTAAAGTCAGGCCTTATAAGGTCAACGACCGTTCATCAGAATAAATCTGAGAGGAGCCAGACTTAGCATCCAGCCTGCACTGGAATTTCTTCTTGTTTCCGTTAGCAGAGTTAGTAACTGAGAAGTTCTGGATAAATGCCATGAACGTCAGTGGGCTAGTCAAAGAACGTCATCCGGTAGTCGGCCAGTAATCAGTTAAACTTTTAATTATATATTGGGCCAGAAATATATATGAGAGGTAATTTGGCCTCTCTTCTCTTAGAGAATTTCCTGTTCATGAAACGTGCACCACGTTTAAAGGTCACGAAGTAGAAGTATGCCCCATGTAATACGTCACTTCCATGTAATACGTTACTTCCCACCTTCAAGGGCACAAAAAATCGTTTTTTCTTTTGTTTCACAAAACTGGAGTCAGTCATTTTATCTAATGTTTACAAAAGAAAAAATTTAAAAATCTCAAAAAGCGGCTGAGTTATTCAGAAAAAACGTATTCTTAAATGAAGTTAATAAATCAGGAAGGTGTCATAATCGCTTAAATCGAGGAAACCGCCAGGCGAAATTTTCGCTGCAAACGCTCATTTTGGAGCTCGTATTTCATGTTATTTGGTGTTGTTTACATCGCGCATTTCACAAAATTTGCAAATAGAAGCCCTTTACGCTTGCTCTCTAGAGGAAAATTCCAAACAGAAAAACGTCCTTGGACCGAGGAAAAGAAACAAAGAAAGGACCCATTTCTGTGTTGGAAAGAAACGAAAACACCTTTCTGAAAGCCACAATGGTTCTTTAATCAGTATA